AAAAAGAAATTTTATATGTATCATTCTTCTATTGTATAAATTAAAAATGTAGTAGGCAATAAAAATTCATAAAAATAAAAAAAAATATAAATAGTCTTGCCACTTGAGATAGTTTTCACTGTAATATTCTCAATTTAATCCTTTGTAAGAAATAATTCAATTACAAAACTAATCAAATAAATTCAAAGTTTTTATAAAAATAATACATTTAAAACAATGACCAATTTTGAATCTACTTACTTGGAGGAGTGTAACGCTTTGGAAGAAAACTATGAAGAGGTTTTCATAATTCATCCCATTGTTCTTAAAAATGCACAAGCCTTACTACATGGTGACGAAAGTGAAGGTATTAACTTAGATGAAATTGAATCTGAAAATTCTGACCTCTATGAAGAACTCCTCTCAACAATAGATAATGAAATAGATATAGAAATTGAAGAAAGTTCTATTTAAAGTCTGAATTTAACACCATGTATAGTTGTAGATAGTTTTGAAGGAGAGATAAAGTGCTGTAATAGCACAACAAATTTATGCTGATTATGACAATTGATAGGAACATGGGAAATAGATGCGCATGCAGTTGAAAAAATTCAAAGCAATAGCACAGCAAATCTGCAGTGATTGTGACAAGCAACAGGAACATGGGAAGGAAACACACATACACTTGATCGACTTGGTGTATGCTATAATCATTTTTTATATAATCAAAACCAACTTCATGCTCCAGGCATGAAACAATCATGTTCGATTCATAAAAGCATAGTTTATTTTTGTATTTGCCTTTTCTGTAATAAGAAGAAATGTTTCTTTAGTCATAGTAACAATTGTACACAACATACATAGAATGTTAATAGACAGAATATTCAAGTACCTTGTATTGGTGTTCATGACTGCCCCACACTTTCTGAGGGATATAATACAAAAAAAACATCTTCAAGGTATCATGCACATTATATTTGCTCTGAATGTTTTCAACAAAATAGTGGGCATTTGTATGAAAGACCTGGTAGAAGCAAAAAATTTCGATCATGTAAGTTTGAAAAACACCAAGATAATGCTAGTGATGCTCTAAAGCTTATCAGAAAATGGTTAATATCATTAGCAGATTCAGATGATCATGAGTTGCAAAAAAAAGTCCTATTTCAAGTATCCCCAGTATTAACTACAATAGATGAAAATTTATCAGAAGAGGAAATAGCAAAATTACCAAGTAAGTTAGTTATTAGAATGACATTGAAAATGAAAAAATTGAATTGAATCAATTAATCAGGGAAAGGCCTTGTATAACTCTGAAAGAGACATCGATAATGGGGGAAAAATTAGGAAATGAAATTTTATATTCATATCCTAAAATTAAAGAAAACATAAGTAGTTAGAAAACCCAAGCTTATATAAAGACTACTTTAATGCATTACCCAACATCATTCATACCTTTTTTCAAGCCCTTCTTATAGTATTGTATCAACATAAACAAAAAATCATTAATAATAAGAGGCTTCAGCATAGACTTCCCCTAAAATCACTTGATATAAGTCAGATAACGAAAACTACCACTTTATTAACTTCAATGCTACTTACAATTGCTTTTTCTGAAATAAAAATTTGGCTTTCGAACATTATATTATCTATATGTCAAAATCCAAAATTATTACCACATCTACGAGAAATTCTTCATTCAGCATCTGTTATCGCATATACTAAAAGGCATGAAGGTCATCTTGAAAAATTAAGGATGCATAGTATAGATCCCAAGAATGATCTAATTGAAAGTTCAAATATTTGAAATCTAGCAGTAATTGTGGCAGATCATAATGAAATCAGATTAAAATGAAACTGGGGACCTTTCTTGCTTATCTTTAAAGCTTATAAAACCCACTTATACTTTTTTATTAATAAAACTAACTCCAAACTCTAACTTTAACACTAACCCTAACCCTAAAAAATGTCCTCTAAAAAATTTTAAATTTTCCTAAAAAAATAGAAAAATTTCATTTTAATCTGCCACAGTAATTGATAACATCAATTTTAAAGCTTCTACATTCTCATATAGCAATATTTTTAACATCACATAACAGATCTCACACGCAACATTACGAATGATATTCCAGTTCACTCTTCCTACTTTGCTTAAAAACCTAATTGAAAATGATAAATCTACTAATCAACTATTATTTGAAGAGTTCTCAACTACTGACAATCTATTGATAATATACAAAACTACTTTGAATAAAATATTAGAGGATTATGCGAATAAATTTGAAATAGAAGATGTACACTATGAAATTATCAAACACATATCTCTAGATTGCAATATTCCACCACCAAAAATCGTGATATTGAAACCTGGTGATCCACCCAATTGCAATAATAACATTCATGCAGCATGTGAAATATATCACAATAAATTGCCTCTTGGTAGTAATAAATGTTTATACATTGCATGTAATTAGGTGATTTTCAGAAGATTAATTTCCTATAAAGAAACTAACAATGATGTCTGACTTCTTTTGAGGCAGTGGCACACATCTAAAGATATGTGCTGCACTTTGATTACAATATTTTCTGGATATGAAATATTTAACCTTGCGGCAACTCTCAGAGTACGAGATCTAGAGAAGTTTAAGCATGTAGTAGATTATCATGCAGCATGTTGTGTTTTAGAATTGATCTGGGTAGCAGTCGGGATAGCATTGCAGCATTGTATCAACATGTTAAAAAAGAAAGAAAAACAATGAGTAATATTTTAAGTAGTAATAATTATCTAATAAAAGTATGGTATCTCTTCTTCTACTGGACGGAATATTTTATAGACCATAAAATTGGAATTAGAAGAGAAAATTACAGAATGCAGATGGCAAATTTGGCTGCATTTGCATCTCTCTTTTCTGCAGCTAGAAAGTTTAAATATACAAGTTCTGTAGCACACTTTTTGGCTCAGGTTGATAATGATTTACAACTACAAAAAATATTGGAAATAGCATGTTTAGTAAACCTTACAAGTGAAGGATATTATTTTGCTTTTGACAAAGCACTTGAAACATATGGTGTAAAATTCATCAAGCAAAATATAACTGGTAATATTACCAATCAAGAGACTATGATGTTGAAGATTAAAGCAATTCAAAGTAAGAGAGATCACCTATCAATGCTTCTTGTAGAATATGTTGATAATATTGTAATAAGCCAAAATGCTCATGCAATCAAGTCGTGTAAAGATTCTCTCTGGTTTCTAGTTGCAAAGCTGTTATCCGCTTTTGATCATCCAAACCCTGCAACGTATTATTTATTTGAAGATATGCCAGAAATCAGCAAAGAGGGTATTGAGAATATCTTTTCTTTCTATGAAACTGGAAAACTGCATTTTCAAGAGGTGCTTGAAGAGGATGTATATAAAACTAAGCCCCGAACTTCTGGATATCGTATACGAAATGTAAATCATTATACTTATGCACAACTTGAAAGTATACAAAAACATAGACAAGTAGACAACTTTAATAATGAACTAGTTGTTCAACAGGATACTTTAGTATCACAACAGGCTTCTTCTACAACTAATTCATCAAAACGTTTATGCCATACTATCACGAAAGCAGAAGGTAAAATACTTATACAATTATTTGAACCTGGGGGAGTATTGCTTAAAAATAAAATTCTGGAAGTGCTATCAGAGCTTAGTTTAGATTGAATAGAAGAGAGAGCTAGGCTGTATTGGAGAAATAATTAACACAAGTATACTCAAGGATAAAATAGTATTAGATTATTATTTGAATGTAAAATAAATAGTAAAATTCAAAGATTAGAAAACGAAAATTAATAAAAATAAAAATTTTTAAATTACCATTGTTCTGTTATACATAAGCATCCTTGTTTAGTTAAAATCCTCAAAAAAAATCTATTTGATCTTAACAGAAAAAGATTAAAATAACCCGAATTGACATCTAATTTACCTTATTAAAAAGTACCCTCTTAGCAAATGCCTAAAAGTTATAACTAAAGTGCCCTTGCATAAATAATAAACTTTATAATACTCTTCATTTGTTACTATTAACAAAGTAAAATCAGTCTTATTTTACGATACCTGAATGAGAATCTTCACATGTGTGTTAAAAAATTACAATCTTTAGGTCTGATTCTATTCTATAAAAAACAAAGCAATATGACTATTTCTAGTATAAAACGAAAGTGTAAAACTCAAAAAATAAGGTTGTTTAAAGTCGAAATATCACTTGTTATTAATTAAGCGATGCAGTTAAAAAAAATATGTTGATTTATATTACACAAAGAATAGATCACTAGGAAGATCATTGGGAAGGACATGTCCAGTGACTAATAGTGTAATGTGATGCAAATCACTATGTAAATCCAATATAGTGTAAATCTGAAAAATTTCTACTATTTGTCCAAAGAAAACAGTTTTTCGTACTAAGTTAATCGATTTTGTAAATTAATTAAAAGTTGTAGAGCTTGTACTTGCGGTTTTAATGGTGGTTAAATCATCCAAATCGGCCTAGTGGATGCTGAGATATTTTTAAAAAAACGCGTCAATGATTATATAAAATCTCTATATAAACAATACAAAGATTTTATATAGTCATTGACACGTTTTTTAAAGATATCTCGGCATCCACTAGGCCGATTTGGATGATTTAACCACCATTAGAACTGCAAGGATGAGTTCTACAACTTTTAATTAATTTACAAAATCGATTAACTTAGTACGAAAAAATTTTTTCTTTGGATGAATAGTAAAAATTTTTCAGATTTACACTATATTGAATTTACATAGTGATTTGCATTACGTTACACTATATTTATTCTTCTGTTGACTGGCGGATTATCAATTAAGACACAATCATAAAGTCAAATAATTGAAACTTAAATAAAGTTAGTGATAAAAATTTGAAACATGTGATGTAGTAAATATATAATATAGATAATCATTATAATACAAAATATAAAAATTTCATTATTATATTTTATGAATTTAAAATTTTTGGCTCATGGCAACAAGCAAAACAAGTAATAAAAGTTCAAGGAAAAGATATAAGTTTTTTTCAGAAAATGCTGATGAATTTGATTCAGAAATTAAAAACAATCAAACAACAATAGCTATTATAGTAGTGACAGATACTAGTTTACAAACCTCAATATTTACATATCCATCAAGTTCAAAAAATATATCACAGAATAAGCATCAACCTCATCCATTCTCTGAAGTATGGGATTACTTCAACAAAGGAACTAGAAAAAGCAATGGATGATCTGAGGCTACTTGTAGTTATTGCGAAAAAAAATGATCACGAGAAAAACCTATACAACTAGAAGCATATTTATCAAATGACTGTACTAATTGTCCAGAAGATATATTCTATTATTGAAAAGAAAAGATTGCAAAAAGAGATCCAAATTATACTCGAAGGCTCAAAAAAAACTGTGTTCTATCAAATTCTATATCACAAACAACAATAACTTCTCATTATGCATTAGACCATTCACTATCTAAAGCTATAACTAACTGGCTTGATTGAAAAATAATCAAAGCTTGGATAATGGCGAGAATCTTTTTTAATGTCATTAACAATCTATTTATATGAGATATGCTTACAGAGCTTAATCCCACATATAGCCCACCTTCAAGAATGACTTTATCAAACTGATTGTTTGATAAAGAATTAGCATAGATAAACAAAGCAGTTAATGATAAATTAGAGAAAGTAGACTATTTAACTTTAGGTTAGTACAGTATTATTAAATATTATTTGTGTTTTAGATAAAATTTCACATTCTCTAAAATAATCATTTTTAAGTAATAATTTTCAATTACTAAGCTTTAAATTTATTAAATTTTATAAAGCTTTAAACGGTTGATTTTTCCACAATCACTAATTAATTTTTTTATGCTCTCTAATTTAACTAAATCAGCTGCAATAAGGTTGATAGCATGTGTAGCACATCTAACATTCCAGATATGTGGATACATTTGTTGTATCTTTTTATGCGCAATATTATAGTTTGATACTGCATCTGTTACAACAGTCGCGAATTTGTCTGAACTAAGTTTTTCAATAACTTTTGATATTTTATTTGCCAAAAATTCGCCAGTGTGAAATTGATTTGAATAGTTTTTTAATCTAACCAGATATTCCTTTTGAGTATCTGTTATAACTATGTAATTGTAGATTGAATCTATCGATGGTGATGTTCAACCATTTAAAGCTTTATAAAATTTAATAAATTTAAAGCTTAGTAATTGAAAATTATTACTTAAAAATGATTATTTTAGAGAATGTGAAATTTTATCTAAAACACAAATAATATTTAATAATACTGTACTAACCTAAAGTTAAATAGTCTACTTTCTCTAATTTATCATTAACTGCTTTGTTTATCTATGCTAATTCTTTATCAAACAATCAGTTTGATAAAGTCATTCTTGAAGGTGGGCTATATGTGGGATTAAGCTCTGTAAGCATATCTCATATAAATAGATTGTTAATGACATTAAAAAAGATTCTCGCCATTATCCAAGCTTTGATTATTTTTCAATCAAGCCAGTTAGTTATAGCTTTAGATAGTGAATGGTCTAATGCATAATGAGAAGTTATTGTTGTTTGTGATATAGAATTTGATAGAACACAGTTTTTTTTGAGCCTTCGAGTATAATTTGGATCTCTTTTTGCAATCTTTTCTTTTCAATAATAGAATATATCTTCTGGACAATTAGTACAGTCATTTGATAAATATGCTTCTAGTTGTATAGGTTTTTCTCGTGATCATTTTTTTTCGCAATAACTACAAGTAGCCTCAGATCATCCATTGCTTTTTCTAGTTCCTTTGTTGAAGTAATCCCATACTTCAGAGAATGGATGAGGTTGATGCTTATTCTGTGATATATTTTTTGAACTTGATGGATATGTAAATATTGAGGTTTGTAAACTAGTATCTGTCACTACTATAATAGCTATTGTTGTTTGATTGTTTTTAATTTCTGAATCAAATTCATCAGCATTTTCTGAAAAAAACTTATATCTTTTCCTTGAACTTTTATTACTTGTTTTGCTTGTTGCCATGAGCCAAAAATTTTAAATTCATAAAATATAATAATGAAATTTTTATATTTTGTATTATAATGATTATCTATATTATATATTTACTACATCACATGTTTCAAATTTTTATCACTAACTTTATTTAAGTTTCAATTATTTGACTTTATGATTGTGTCTTAATTGATAATCCGCCAGTCAACAGAAGAATAAATATAGTGTAACGTAATGCAAATCACTATGTAAATTCAATATAGTGTAAATCTGAAAAATTTTTACTATTCATCCAAAGAAAAAATTTTTTCGTACTAAGTTAATCGATTTTGTAAATTAATTAAAAGTTGTAGAACTCATCCTTGCAGTTCTAATGGTGGTTAAATCATCCAAATCGGCCTAGTGGATGCCGAGATATCTTTAAAAAACGTGTCAATGACTATATAAAATCTTTGTATTGTTTATATAGAGATTTTATATAATCATTGACGCGTTTTTTTAAAAATATCTCAGCATCCACTAGGCCGATTTGGATGATTTAACCACCATTAAAACCGCAAGTACAAGCTCTACAACTTTTAATTAATTTACAAAATCGATTAACTTAGTACGAAAAACTGTTTTCTTTGGACAAATAGTAGAAATTTTTCAGATTTACACTATATTGGATTTACATAGTGATTTGCATCACATTACACTATTAGTCACTGGACATGTCCTTCCCAATGATCTTCCTAGTGATCTATTCTTTGTGTAATATAAATCAACATATTTTTTTTAACTGCATCGCTTAATTAATAACAAGTGATATTTCGACTTTAAACAACCTTATTTTTTGAGTTTTACACTTTCGTTTTATACTAGAAATAGTCATATTGCTTTGTTTTTTATAGAATAGAATCAGACCTAAAGATTGTAATTTTTTAACACACATGTGAAGATTCTCATTCAGGTATCGTAAAATAAGACTGATTTTACTTTGTTAATAGTAACAAATGAAGAGTATTATAAAGTTTATTATTTATGCAAGGGCACTTTAGTTATAACTTTTAGGCATTTGCTAAGAGGGTACTTTTTAATAAGGTAAATTAGATGTCAATTCGGGTTATTTTAATCTTTTTCTGTTAAGATCAAATAGATTTTTTTTGAGGATTTTAACTAAACAAGGATGCTTATGTATAACAGAACAATGGTAATTTAAAAATTTTTATTTTTATTAATTTTCGTTTTCTAATCTTTGAATTTTACTATTTATTTTACATTCAAATAATAATCTAATACTATTTTATCCTTGAGTATACTTGTGTTAATTATTTCTCCAATACAGCCTAGCTCTCTCTTCTATTCAATCTAAACTAAGCTCTGATAGCACTTCCAGAATTTTATTTTTAAGCAATACTCCCCCAGGTTCAAATAATTGTATAAGTATTTTACCTTCTGCTTTCGTGATAGTATGGCATAAACGTTTTGATGAATTAGTTGTAGAAGAAGCCTGTTGTGATACTAAAGTATCCTGTTGAACAACTAGTTCATTATTAAAGTTGTCTACTTGTCTATGTTTTTGTATACTTTCAAGTTGTGCATAAGTATAATGATTTACATTTCGTATACGATATCCAGAAGTTCGGGGCTTAGTTTTATATACATCCTCTTCAAGCACCTCTTGAAAATGCAGTTTTCCAGTTTCATAGAAAGAAAAGATATTCTCAATACCCTCTTTGCTGATTTCTGGCATATCTTCAAATAAATAATACGTTGCAGGGTTTGGATGATCAAAAGCGGATAACAGCTTTGCAACTAGAAACCAGAGAGAATCTTTACACGACTTGATTGCATGAGCATTTTGGCTTATTACAATATTATCAACATATTCTACAAGAAGCATTGATAGGTGATCTCTCTTACTTTGAATTGCTTTAATCTTCAACATCATAGTCTCTTGATTGGTAATATTACCAGTTATATTTTGCTTGATGAATTTTACACCATATGTTTCAAGTGCTTTGTCAAAAGCAAAATAATATCCTTCACTTGTAAGGTTTACTAAACATGCTATTTCCAATATTTTTTGTAGTTGTAAATCATTATCAACCTGAGCCAAAAAGTGTGCTACAGAACTTGTATATTTAAACTTTCTAGCTGCAGAAAAGAGAGATGCAAATGCAGCCAAATTTGCCATCTGCATTCTGTAATTTTCTCTTCTAATTCCAATTTTATGGTCTATAAAATATTCCGTCCAGTAGAAGAAGAGATACCATACTTTTATTAGATAATTATTACTACTTAAAATATTACTCATTGTTTTTCTTTCTTTTTTAACATGTTGATACAATGCTGCAATGCTATCCCGACTGCTACCCAGATCAATTCTAAAACACAACATGCTGCATGATAATCTACTACATGCTTAAACTTCTCTAGATCTCGTACTCTGAGAGTTGCCGCAAGGTTAAATATTTCATATCCAGAAAATATTGTAATCAAAGTGCAGCACATATCTTTAGATGTGTGCCACTGCCTCAAAAGAAGTCAGACATCATTGTTAGTTTCTTTATAGGAAATTAATCTTCTGAAAATCACCTAATTACATGCAATGTATAAACATTTATTACTACCAAGAGGCAATTTATTGTGATATATTTCACATGCTGCATGAATGTTATTATTGCAATTGGGTGGATCACCAGGTTTCAATATCACGATTTTTGGTGGTGGAATATTGCAATCTAGAGATATGTGTTTGATAATTTCATAGTGTACATCTTCTATTTCAAATTTATTCGCATAATCCTCTAATATTTTATTCAAAGTAGTTTTGTATATTATCAATAGATTGTCAGTAGTTGAGAACTCTTCAAATAATAGTTGATTAGTAGATTTATCATTTTCAATTAGGTTTTTAAGCAAAGTAGGAAGAGTGAACTGGAATATCATTCGTAATGTTGCGTGTGAGATCTGTTATGTGATGTTAAAAATATTGCTATATGAGAATGTAGAAGCTTTAAAATTGATGTTATCAATTACTGTGGCAGATTAAAATGAAATTTTTCTATTTTTTTAGGAAAATTTAAAATTTTTTAGAGGACATTTTTTAGGGTTAGGGTTAGTGTTAAAGTTAGAGTTTGGAGTTAGTTTTATTAATAAAAAAGTATAAGTGGGTTTTATAAGCTTTAAAGATAAGCAAGAAAGGTCCCCAGTTTCATTTTAATCTGATTTCATTATGATCTGCCACAATTACTGCTAGATTTCAAATATTTGAACTTTCAATTAGATCATTCTTGGGATCTATACTATGCATCCTTAATTTTTCAAGATGACCTTCATGCCTTTTAGTATATGCGATAACAGATGCTGAATGAAGAATTTCTCGTAGATGTGGTAATAATTTTGGATTTTGACATATAGATAATATAATGTTCGAAAGCCAAATTTTTATTTCAGAAAAAGCAATTGTAAGTAGCATTGAAGTTAATAAAGTGGTAGTTTTC